GACAACTGCATCGAAAAAATTTAAAAAAAGAAATTTCAACATCTAAGAAGAAATGAAAACAACATAAACAAAGGAAAAGATATTTAGCGTTTCAAGAACTTACATGCAGTATCTAGACTCGCGGAGAGAAAAAGAGAGAGATGGATGCATGCAAGACAAATGGTGAGAGCCCCGTGCACTATATATGGAGAAAAGAAGGAGACTTCAAAAGGCACAAAGCGCAGGTGGGAAAAAGGGGAAAGACTCCTCGGTGGGGAGTAAATGGGGGTGAATACATCGAGAAGAAGAAACCGCTCAGAAGATGGGGGAACCGTCAAACAAAACACGGTACAAGTAAATGCCCCGGCCACCAAAACAAAACAAAAAATAAAAAAAGCCCAAAATGAAAGATAAAATAAAAGCCCATAATGAAAAAGGCCCAAACAAAAAAAGAAAGCCCAAAATGAAGGCATCCGTTTTCTGTAAAAAAAGACGCATAAAAAATATAAAAAAATGAATGGCCAAAATGCAAAAAAAAACTTGGCATACAAGAAGATCGGGGAGGAGGGGGGGAAAGGATCTGTGAAGAATGGAACTAACCTAAAAAAACAACCACGCAAATCCAGATCTGAACACACGGGCTTGAGGAGAGAAAAGGGGGAGGGCAGGGGGAGGGAGCTGGCGAAACAAAATGAATCATCCAGATCCATCAAGAAGGCTTCACTTGCGGGGATATGCACAACGAGAAGAGGTAAGCACACGCATACTAATGAAAATCTGCACACAAAAGTTACAATCTTAGTAATAAAATTTGATTCTATTATAAAACTATGTACATTGCCACAAAAATCATACTGCCTACTTCACATATTAAAGTTTCTTTAGTCTAAAATTCAAAAAACAGATACCTATGTCAAAAATAAATACTGACTAACTGATTACACTGTGAATGATCCAGAGACAAAGGGTTGATAGAGAAAAAACAAGGATACAACAACATCAATACAAAGAAATCAACTGCAGGTACATTCTAAAAAAAATGACTAAGATTACCATGCTCTACATTTCAAAAAATGGAAAAAAGTCTGAAATTCATATATGCATAAAAAAACAAGGAGGAAAATGGCTACCTTGGAACAAATCCATTTGCGGCAGGATCTTCGAGCAATCCAATGACCAGTTGGCAGAGGCAATTGGGGCTGATGTTCAACTTGCAGGTATGCAAAAATGAATAAAAAAATGTTACAAGCAAGATTTGAAAAAAATAAAAACAAAAATAATGTATTCTTTTACAGATAAATGAAGGGCATCAACACAGACAGCCAAAACAGAAGGAGTTACAGCTATGTATGGGGCAAGTTCAAACAATCAATCATCAACAATGGATGGATGCAGTACAAACCTTTCTCAAATACATAGCAGCACCAAGGTAAACCCACCTAGAAAAAAATGCATTACACATTAAACAAAAATGATAGCAAAAAAAAAAATTGATATCTTCCACAAATTATGCCAGGAGAGCTTAACAGGATTACTGATGGAGCAAATCAGGAACTCATAGGAGGAAATGTACTCGGTAAGAGACATGTTTACACTTCCACAATTTTTTGCTTAGATACAAAAAAAATGCAAATAAAATGAACAAAAAAGGTTTTGATGTAGTAAATTTGGCACATGTTTCAGTTTTGTCAGGAAATGCAGGGATCATATACAAGCTTGCTGTTGGGTCCATAGATTTTACAGGTAAACAGACAAATATAAAACATTATGTACAACTAGCAGTTATTTTCATTAAAAACAATTCCCTAACTGATTTAATATTAAAAAATGTAGGAAAATCTACAAGTCCAGAGAGATATAATGGACTACTATGCACAAGACAAATATGGCGTAAAAATACAAAAAGTAAAAAGTCAATAACCTGATTTCTTAACACTGTGCCTTGCAGATAGCTGTAGACGACATGCACAGCCTTCAACAAACAAATGAAAATTTCAATTACTCAACATCCGAATATGAGGTACAGAATCTCAACACACAAAAAAATACATTTTTTTTTTGCTAATACAGAACACTAATTACATTATCAATTTGCACGGGTACCAGAACAGGGACTAGGGTTAGGAATACTTATCAGATCATGAAGAGGAGAAATGGCAAAATCGGATCTTCAAGAATATTGAAATTCAAGAAATAGAAGAACCTACAAGAGTAATGGAAGAAGGATTGTCAAATATAGTATCAGAACTGACAGAAACAAATATAGAATCAGCAACTAATGAACTTATGACAGCTGAAGACAGAGAAAATATAGAGCCTAATGGGAGCTAGAAACTCACTGAAGAAGTCGATGATTTTATCATGAAAGAACAGTTAGCAGCATCCGAAGGCAACAACGTTGACATCAACAGCAGATACACCCCACAGTTAGGGATGCAGTTTAAAACAAAAGATGATGCTCAGCACTATTTCAACTTCTATGCATACCTTGCTGGATTCGAAACAGCTGTTGCGGATGTCTTTAGAACTTCAAGCAAGAAAAGAAACAATGAGATCACAAAAATTACAGTCAAGTGTAACAAATATGGGAAACAAGAAGAACCAAAGACATTAGATCAGTAGGAAGTAGCAGTGGACAAAGACATCGAGAAACAAAAGGGACCAAAAAGGAAGACAAGTGTGGTGGTCAAAACAAACTGCCCATGTGTTATGGTTGTCAAAGAAGGAAATGAGGTTTGGAAGATTATCAGACTTGATTTAGATCACAACCATGAACTGCAGCCGGGGCACAGGGAACAACAGTTTAGTGGGCACAAGTATATGATGGACATGGAGAAAGCGCTCATTAGGACATTGAATGATAACAACATTCCAACAAGAAAAATGATCTCTATAATGTCCTATCTTAGAGGAGTCACATCACTTCCAGTAAAAAAAGAAAGATGTTAGCAACTTCAGGACAAAAATTAATAGAGAAGTAAGGGGGTCAAATATGATAAAGGTATTAGACAACTTTAGGAACAGGAAGAGAGAAGATCCTAGCTTCTTCTACAAGTTTCAATTAGATGACGATAACAAAGTCAAAAATATATTCTAGAGAGATGGATCATCACTGAAATATTACGCAGAATATGGAGACTGTGTCAGCTTTGACACAACCTACATGACAAACAGATATAGGTTGCCATTTGCACCCTTTGTGGGTATCACTGGGCATGCACAAACCTATGTCTTTGGATGTGGTTTCCTACATGATGAGACGACAACAACTTTCAAATGGGTCTTTGAAACCTTCCTAGAGGCTATGGGAGGCAAGCACCCAAAAACTATAATAACAGATCAAGATAAGGCAATGGAAGCAACTATTGAGGAAGTGTTGCCAAACACAAGGCACATGAATTGCTTGTTTCACATCAAAACAAAGTGCTACTCAAAGAATATCAAAATATTTGTTGCAAAAGAAGGACTGTATGAAGAATTTGAAGACATAGTTAACAATTGTGTAACAGAGGATGAATTCGAGTACTTGTGGGGGAAGATGATTGAGGAAAGAGAGCTACAGAACAATAAATACTTCACAAAGATGTGGGAGACAAGGGAAAGATTCATCCCAGTTTGCTACAAACATGATTTCTTCCCTTTCATCCAAACCACATCAAGAAGTGAGGCTACAAACGCAAGATTTAAAGACAATGTTGGTCCAAACATATAGTATTATCAGTTTCTTGGGAGAGTACCAACGCATAATAGACACGATAGATAGAGCTGAGAACCTAGAAGACCACTACAGCAATCAGAAAAGGCCCAAAGAACTACTATTTGGGTACACCTTTTAGAAGCAAGCACAAGAATCGTACAACAGAAACATATACAAGAAATTCTAGGTGCAACTGAGTGCTACTTCAACAATGACTTACAAGGAAATTCAAGAAGGCAAAGTGTTTGAAGTATGGCAGAGAGGTAACTAGGTACATAAGCTACAAAGGACAAGGAAGTATATAGTGCTAACTAACCTCACCGAAGGGCAAGAGGAGTTCACCTGCATCTACACCAAATTCAGCAAAGATGGAATGTTGTGTTCTCACATACTAAAAGTGATGATAGAAAAAGAAATTATCAAGATACCAGATAAATACATAATAGATAGATGGAGAAAAAAGATATGAGAATGATCAAAGAAAGAAGAGAAGAGAAAACAGTTCAGACAAGCCCACTACTCAGATTCAATATAATGTCAAGAAAATCTACAGTATTGAATTCAAAAGCAGCTAAAAAGGACGAAGCAACAGAGTACCTTATGGCAGAAATGGAAAGGATAGAAGTGCACCTAGACAAATTGCTAGCACCTCCAGCAAGTGATCATGGTCAGAATGAAGAAACACCAAATCAGGAAGTACAAAAAAAATGGAAATGCAGATAGACAACAAAACAATTCTGAAAATGAAATTGAAGATCCAGATAAAGCAACATAGAAGGGGAGACCAATATTGCCAAAAATAATGAAGACTCAAATAGAACAGGTTAGGGAGAAAGTGAAACAGCAGCAGAACAAGAAGAAAAAGAAATCAACATCAAATGTAAATTCAGATAAAATTTCTAAAATAAAAAAACTAAATAAATACTTACTAAGTAATTACAATTTTGAAATAATGATTGTCTTTTCTTTCCCATCGCAGGTTCACCGACCAAGCCCAATTCCAAGAAGATGAAGAAATCAACAACAAAGAAAACAGATACAAAGAAAACCAATTAAAGGAGTACCAGCGATGGAATAGAAGAAACAAAAAAGACAAGTCTAGAAAAGATTATGAGTTATATGTAAATTCTATAATAGAGATACAAACTGTAATAGACGATTTAGTTCTACAATGTGCAACAAATGCACAAAATGAATTTGAAGTGCTAATGGCATGTGAAAAGTACTGTGTCCAAACATAACAGTTTTAACTGCTCTACAAATCTCCAACCATGTATTCTAACTAGTTACAAAAACATCTACGAGCCTGGATAGAAAATCAAAACTAATTGCAGACACGAGGATCTACACCCTGCAAAAAAAGAAAGAAAAAGAAAAAGAAAATTCAATAATAAAGTAACAGAACAAATATGTACAACGAAAACCAAGTTTTACCTGCTTATACAAGTTCATCAGTAGAGACTTGTCGATACAATTTCCTTTACTGAAGAATAAGTCAACTCCAAGCTTGATACGTATGTTTGGAATGTCGGAGTGATCAAACATATCCTTGAGATCAACATTTCTGTCCCATAGCTCCATGAATTTCAAAGCAAACACACCACAATCAACACTGAAACAAACATGGAAGAGAGCTGCACATCATTATATTAACTCTATATTAATGAAGAAAAAATAGGAGAACAGCCATAAAAATACACAGACCAACACCACAGAAACCATGCTACAAGCAATCCAACTCGCTTGTGACAAAGGATGAAACGACCCAAACAAAGTAAACACACTAAAACCGGGTTATGCAAAAAAATGTAATGTGCCTTGTAAAAAAAAGAAGCTATGCCAAGTGATGTCAACAAAACCAGGCAACTAGCAAAGCTTTTTAAAACACATGAGCCAATCCCATTTTGCCCATTAGATAGATGAGACTTCATATGGCATTAAACAAACAAAGGAACATAAGCACAAATGGCTCCAATAAAAAAAGAGGTCAACAGCTAATTCAACCAATCTGATGGGCAACAAAATCTCCAATATTAAGGGAACAAAAAGGTCTGCATCTCTCATGTTCTATTGGCTAAGTGATTGCAATTACTGACTGAGTTGCTACTACACAAAAAAAAAAGCAAAACTATTTTGACAATTATAGATATGCACAACACATCTCCGAGAGGCCAAAAAAGGTGCAAAAAGCTTCCACCATTTGCATAACTAAACCAATAAAAACCATGAAGGTTACAACAGCAGACCTTCAACACATGCATAACATAGTCCTATCATTTATAGCAAAAAATCTGAAAAAAATGTACTACACTGAGAAGATTGCCAAGAAAAAGAATCGACAATCTACAAGAAATGCTGCTAACCTCTATTCAAAATACAGCAACAAGAGCTCACAAAAAAATAGCACATGAAATTAACTAAATGTTAACAGTACATGAGGTAGCATTCAGGTAGACTCACACATTATTCTGTTTTGGCACTGGAGGATATAACATGGAGAATGTGTCCACATCTACACTGCCCTCAGCATATTGGTATCAACATTTCTTGAATGCGTCAATCTTTTTTTCTAAAAAACGAAACAAGTCAAACATGTAATTTTTTTTAAATGAACAAATTAAAAATACTTACGAGCTTGGTCCTTGCTTCGATTTGGAAGTTGTGATCACCAGAAAAATAAGAGTCCAAAAACACAAACAGTTTGTTCTTCAAATCAACAATGAAGACAAACCAATGCTTGTGCAAGATAATAGGAAAGCAAAGCTGCAACAAGAAAAATAAATAAATACAAAAAAATGACAAAGTAAATAAAAAAGCAAGCAGGAAGGTTACCTTCTCTGACAAATGAAGCTTGTGAGCAGAATTGGCTCCAAGAAAACAATTTTTCACTGTGTTGATGTCATACAAGCAGTTGTACGTATAAAGACATCCCTAAAAAATAAAACCACAAAAACATCTCAACTTCAACATGAAAAAAAGAAAAAGCTGCTCCTCACAAAAAAAGGTTACAAATAATGCAACAATCACAAACTTACCCCAACTTTTGGATAGAAAAAATGTTTCTTCGACTGCCTTGGGTGTTGATCCTCAAAAAATTTACAACACATCCCAGCGACAAAAAAAATGTCAACTTTCCCCCTAGGCTCAACAGATTGGCCTAAAGAACAATAGGTAATGCTAGTCTTGGAAAACTCAACTGCCTTCAAGCTAGGACAAAAAAAATCATTAAGTTCATAAAACATAAAAGAACTGCAAAAATTTAAAAAACAGATACTAAAAAGAGGAGCATACCAACTCCATTGACTATAAGCAAGTCCACAAATGATTTCGTAATAAGCCATTTCTTCATCAGTAACTACAAACCTTCTGGCTTCTGGAATACCACCAGTTAAATCAATTGTTAGATGGGCTGCCATAGTACTAAAATTTCTTCTGTTACATAGCTCATCAGATAACTTTCCTAACTAAATGCAGCGATCTTTCAAACTTGACACACCCAAAACTTCAACATCAGGTGGTGGCTTAAAAAAAATATATAAATAAAACAAAACACCTAGTACACACAATAAAACGAAAATGATAAACAATTGCTTACCTTAGGAGCTTCAATTTTAGCTTTCTTGTTCATAATAAGAACATTTCCTAGAGAACAGAAAAAGAAAAAACCATTAAACTTCATTAAAAAAATAAAACAATAAAAAAAGATTAAGGAAAAAATAAAACCTGGCACAGAAGCAAACTCATCAACTTCACGATAGCCCTGATGCAGAACTACAGGAGTGTCTAGGACCAAACAAGGACTTCTCATTGACTTGCCATATGCAACACCCGGAGGTCCTCTAGATGCAGCTGAATTCTGGAAATAAAAATCGAAAAATAATAATATCTAATTCTCAAAACATACTTTTCATGCTCGAGATATGCTGAATCAATCAAAACATCTCCCAAAAACCCACGCATAACATCTACAATGCAACATCTACTAAAATTCAAGACAAAAAAGCAGCCTAAAAACACACTCATATGCTGAGTCTAACACATACAAACCACTCAACATCCATCACAACTAAAATGCTAATTGTTGACACTAACACGCACTAGCATTCAATCCATGGAAAAAAAAGCAGTGGAAATGACTGTAGGCGTTTTAGACAACTCTCACATTATCACACAGAAGCATTCATCTGTAATGAACTCAAAACTTAACACTACATCAGGTAGCATGCAGGTATCAGGGTAACTCGAATTTAACTGAAACTAAGATATATCAACGCAGTAACTAGTAGCATTCAGATATCCAGGTAGCACTCAGGTATAAGATAGATCACAACATCAGGTAGACCAGTAGTTCACATTCAGAAAATACCACTAAAACAGATATGAAATGATCACTAAAACTGAACTGAAATGAGCAACTGATAACAAACCAAAACAGATTAAACAAAAAGGAGAAAACAAAAAAAGACTACAACCTGTGGGCGAGAAACAGTGGTGTGAACATTCTTTTGATCTCCGATAGGCTTGCTGGCTTCAAAATTTCCTTCAGCAAAGCGCTTGTTAGACTGCTCCTTGACCACTGAACAGTGCAAATTACCTGTAATGTTAAAAGAGAATTTAAAAGAAAACCATGATACAAAAAAATAAGCCTGTCTGGCACGTATAAAAAACTAATTCCACTAACAACAACAAAAGATAACAAAACAATGCAGCAGGCACAAAAAAAATTAATACCTCTTGAAATAGATGGATCAGACTTATCATTATCATTAACTCTGTTCTTTTGAACAAAGATAGGGGGAGCAACATTGTTCTCCTTCGGCTTATCAGCACTCTGTGCAGCGTCTAAGAGGATCTGAAGAACAATGAGAACTAGACTCTCAGTAGGCAACAAACAGAAACTACACTTCCCATACGTATTCTCATGTACAAGCTTGCATAACTCATCAATCACCTAAACAAAGAAAAAAGCTAAACCATTAATATAACAAATAAAAAAATGGAAACAACAAAAAAAATATTTACATTTGCAGGCAAGAACTCGCCAAAATACATGTTAAGCTTCTCCCTGAATCCAATTGATTCACCTTGATCATTACGAGCTCCATTGATTCCTTTGGGGGGCTCCATTATGCTCATTCATTTTCTATAACAATGTAGAAAACAAAATAAAAAATGGTTGCAAACAAAAATGAAAAATAAAATAAAAAATGATACCTTTGATTTGCAAAAAACAACGAATTGCTCCAATAGATTTATATTTGCAGTAGAAAGCAAGCCCTGAAAAAAAGAATACGAAGACAAGCTACTGTTAAAAAAATCAACAGATAATTCATGGAACTTATCAGGTATCTGAAACTAAAAAAAACTTAACTCATCAAAATATAACTAATAGAGCAAACACTTACAGGTTCGGCTCCTTTATGACAATGGTCTGCACGAGTGCTTTCATCTACAACACGGAGACATTGCCTCCTAAAAGCCATCATTAACTAAAAAAATGAAAAAGTCAGTACATATATAATCAATAGAAAAGACAATATAGATTCTAGAGGTCTGCTACTACATAAACAAGTATATATAGAGCTCTACTACTACCTAAGCAAGCAAATTAACAGTCGAAAAAATGATCAGATGCTCTGGTCAGAACATCACATTTGCGAGGCTTCCTTAGCAAAAAAATAGCATGATCTAATTTCACTCCTGCCCAGTTTCAATGTGCCCCACAAAAAAAGGACAAACCAAAAAAAAAAAAAAAAAAAATAACAGTCAACTTCCAGCCATAAAAATTTACACAAACTTTCTCACATCTATCTACTGACAACAGTTGAACAAAGCAAAAAACCAAATATCCAAACCTAACCCATCAGGTAGCGTTGAAAAGTATCAGGTATCACATCACTCTCGCATGTGACATTCAGCCATCAAAGTAACTAGAAAAATAATTGAAACTAACACAGTAAACTAGTAGCATTCAGGTATTCAGTGGGTAGCATTCAGCTATCAAGGGTGTAGATAGCAAAAACATCAATTAAATCACAACATTCAGAAAAAATACCTCTGAAAAATAGTTACTTAACTTTCTAAAACCGAGCTCTTCTAACAAATTCATCTACATTCAAAAAAATGACACCCCCATTCGAAAATTGCATAAAACAAATTATCAAAACAAAATCTGACAACAACAAAACCATAGATACAATCAGCAACAATAAACCTATCATGTATCTCTGCATCCATCCAACCATTCCAACCCAAACCTACGCACAAACCTAAGAACAAAAACAGCTTGGAACTCCCTCATCTCCCACCCTAAAAACAAACCCTATAAATGGAATGAAACAAAACTAAAAAGAACCTAGAACCTGAAAATGAGTTACAAAAAATAACCCCCAGATCTGCGCTACCTGTTGCCTATACGCATTACACAGATTCACACAAACAAAAATCAAAACCAGATGCCAGGAACGTTCGAAAAAGTCTGAAATAATCTGTAGTGACAGAGAGACTTTCACATCTCACGGCTGCCAAACTGCAATGTTCACTATTCATAGTAGCTGAATAAACAAATAACAGATCTAAATCAACATTTTCCAGTAGCTGAATCTGTTGGTGCAAAAAAATGTGGCAATGCATCCAACACACAGCAAGCCGGATGATCTGAGCGAGGTCAACTCGTAGATCTTGCTTGGCTTCAACACAAGACCAGTCGATCCTGAAAATCCTGAAGACGTGCCAGTCAATTTGATCTGCAATTGACAAGGAGAGAAAGCTTATCAAAAATTTAGGGTGGAACATGCTGGTGTTGCCACGACAGTTTCAAGTATGCTGCTTCGCGAGCAGCCAAACAGGAGGATCGACTAGATAGCCGATACGAGGAGGAATCGACTGTTAAGGACTGTGATGCTTGTGGGTTATGATTGATTTATGATAGCAAGTACGATGCACCCAGATTTAAGTAATATGAAGAAACTTCATCAGCTAGATGGATATAACCAGTATAAAGCATTGAGCCGATAAGTTTAACGGGAAATGATATAACATGCGAACAAATCGACTGTCTAGTACAAATGGATCTACAAACGCTCTGAATCTAATATGTTACCATCAACGGTGAGGTTCGACCGGATCGATACAGCTTCATGTCTCGATCAAAATAAAGTCAAAGAATCTATAAAACCATCTATATATTGACAGGTTCATGGAAAACATGCTATATGTGTGAAAGCACAGACAAATCGGCTAAAATAGCCGATGCAGGCATAGCAAACAAACAGAGTACATATCTCGATCATGAACAAAACCACTAATCGATAATTTCTGATCTAAAGTCTTACCAGTGAGGTTCGACCAGGTCGATGCAGCTATGATAGTGTCATTAGATTAGATCTCATTAACTATTGAGTTTGTTCAAGATTGAAACACGTCTTTAGATGCATACTATGTTTGATTGGAATAGAGATAAAACAACCAATCTAGCGAATTAAGTTGTCAATTATGAGATTTAAAGCATGACTAGATCAATTAAGATGATATGATGCCGATCTATCTCTATCTCAATCAGGCGATTTGTTACAATTAATAAAATATTAATTATAACAAGATCGATAGTTGGTGAATCAACAAAAAACAGTAAGGAAAATCTTACTAATCTTAGCAGATTTGATAACCGGTGATATTGTATTAAAAACAAGTACTTTAACACAAGATCGATAACTTATATTATGATTCATAAGAGATTAATCTGCTGATGTAGCCTTACAAATAATGATACAGATCGATAACTAAATTATATTATACTTGTAAAAGATCAATCGGCTGATGCAGCTTTACAAGTATGAAACAAGTCATGACGGTACTCACAGACAAACCATAGGTCAATTAATCGATGCAACCCTGCTTGTTGAAGAACTCGTCGAGATCTACAATACTCCTACTCCTAAGAGTTGGCGTGAAGCCAAAAAAGTAATTGTATTGATTAATTGATTGTCTTATTTTTACAATAATCGGGGCCCAATATTTATACCCGGAACCTAAACATGAATCCTACTCAAATACGACTCATTACAATTCTTGAAATAAAAGAAAACATTCCTAACTCAAGATAACTTCAACCCTAATCTTTTCCTTTGTTGTAGAGTCCGACATATTCTCCCCGACGCCATCCGTACGTAGTCCATTAACGTTGTCCGCTAACGTCATCTATAAAATAGCCGATTCTGATATTGCATCAAAATCAACCGATATCGATTCACATCTGATCGATTACTTGTTGATACAATCTTAGAAGCTTCGAGTTCCCGCGTTCTTCTTTCCAAATTTTGGTATAAACACATGCCCCCTAATTTTGGGATAAAAAAGATTTTATTCCAAAATTTCTATTTACTTGCTCACCGTGTCGCAACTGTTTATTTTGAAATATACGCGCAACTTCTTTCTTGGCCTAAATTTTATATAATACCCCAACAGTATCATTTCCAACTCACTCGGCCTATTCGCTTTCCCATTTTTTCTCGAGCAAGCCTCAACAACCAAAACCGCCATTGCCAAGGCCTTAACCATAGCAAATCTTCTGCTCTATCAAGCTGTTATTCAAGTAACCTTCCTCAGATTCGGATCCATTTTGGCGGTAATGGCAACCAGCGACCACGTCCCTGAGGTATGCTCTCAAGTTCCCATCTTCCAAGTATTAGCCATTACCCTCTATTTCCTTTCTTTTCAGTTATCAACCATTGTATCTCAATCTACTCTAGGTGCTGAACTGTTATCCTAGGCGTTTAAATCAACACCGACCAAACCTTCGTCGACCGATCCTCAAAAGGAGATGATTTTGGTTGAAATAACTGATGCTTCTAAGACAGCAGAAGATGAGAACCCTTCCACTTCACTTCCTGATGCTGTCAAGGTATCTTCTCAAAACTCTTAATTTTATTCAATTTTCACTCTTCTCTGACCATTTATCATGTCAAACACTCCCTGAAGAAACATTCATGCAAGAGCAGAAGTCTGACAGTCCACCAGTTAAAAATGATTCTGTTGATGTTGACACCCAGACTATCGAACCTCCAGTCTAGTAGATAATTGATGGTAAGAAAGTTATATACCTAGTTTATCTTCCTGCAACCAACATAATCTTTTTTGAAAAAATTCCCTGATGTCTGCAGATACCATTACTAAAAGTTTAGAGCCGATTCAACCAGATACCATTGATGCATCATTAGTTGTTCCTTCTCCTCAGATAGAAACTACCCTAGAAAAGGTACTGTGTCTCCTCATTCTTCTTATTTTCAAATAACTTGTTATTTCTTAACAAAATTTTTCCTTACCCACCAGCAGGCACTTAACTCACCAGATCTGAGCTACTCTTTTAATTTTGAAGAGTATATAGATGAAGATGGAATCAGCTCATCAGCCATCTCTTCAAAGAAGCTTTGTCAGAGGAGATAAAGAATTGGCTAAAAGACATGCTGCCAATGCTCAAAAAGAATATAGCTGATTTGGTCCAGGATGCAGATCCGGTCAGAAGAACTTTTCTAGCCATTAAGGGTAACTTGCCTTTGAATCTTGCTAAAGTTCTAACACCTTTATCCAACATTGAGGATCAAGCTCCAAGAGTGAAAAGGGCTCAGAGAAACCTAGCTGATCGCGAAGCTTTATTGGCCAAGAAGAACTCCAACAAACAAGAGGCCAATGAGCTAGCACAACTAATCGATAACTTGAAGAACTCCTCCCTTAGGATCTAACCAGAGCTAAACCAACTAAAAGTTAAGCATGCAGAACTCGAGAAGGAACTAGAGAACGTGAAGGCTGCCATCGATCGCCATGAGTCCAATCTGGCTCAAATACCCAATGCCATTAAACAGAAGAAACATGAAATGTTGATCAAGGTCAAAGAAGGTAAACCCATCCGTAGCACCCTCGAGAACATCCCGGATCAGCCGAAGAAGACAAGCAACAAATCATAGAAGTTGATGCTATCCGGTTAAAAGCGTTGAAAGTAATCCATGATGTTTTAAACTTGTAATCTGCATACCAACATTTTTAATATATACTTTGTGTGGAACCAATGATAACCATATTTCAGCTGATCTATTGTATCTCTTATCTTAGCTAAAGAGCCGATTTGAAAATAGCTGATTCTAGACCTCTGACTTGAATCTAATTAAGTCTAAAAATATGGCCTCCACTAAGAAAACTCCTCAATCTTTCATTCTCAGTTATCAATGCCGCATTCTCTTCGTCATTAGTGGGGTGGTGCTTCACCTTCTATTAATTACGGTTGCCTTTTGCACATACCGAGATATCTGCCACTTCGTTTCGTAGCTATAGTACCAGCCAAGGGCCCTAGCCTCAAACCCACAAACCCTGTAGCAGTTCCTTTCTCCTTTCATAATCTAGACCAGCACCCATGGCAGGAGAGGATCATCGTCGGCAAGCGCGCAGCGGAAGATCTCTCGGAGGAGGAGGTCCCGGTCGGCCAGCGGCT